GAGCTGTGTGACTTGCCCCAAGTCATACAGCTCGTCTGAGAGGGTCTTGATTTAAAGGCAGGCCTGGCCACAAAGCCTACCCTCTCTCCATGACACCACAGTGCCCTCAGTATTCCCGGGGCTCACTCAGAGACTGGTCATCTTGGAACTCACCAGACCTCTCCTCGGGGGACACTTTCATCCAAGCCATGGAACTGGACTTTGTGTCTCCCCCATCTCTGCTCAGTGATGCTCCTTCCCTCTCTCCTCTGGACGCCGTTCATCCCTCCCTGTCACCCATGACATTGGGATGGGCTGGGGCAGGGAGGGGAGAAGGAGGGTGGGAGCCTGTGGGCCATGGGAAGAATCTGGGTTTAAGTACCATGGAAGCCATGGGAGATTTCCAAACACACCTTATACTGCGTTAGCTGCTGGGGATTCAAGGAGAAACGAGACACATTTTGTCCTTGAAACGGGTCAGACTCATGAACTGCCAATATCAAGCGGTGGTCATGGAGGTAACACAGGATCCAATGAGAGTGCACAGGGCAGGCTCCCAACTCAGCCTCGGGGTGCCCAGAGCGGTGGACGCTGGGAGCAAAGTGAGAACCAGAAAGGTAGAAGTAAAGGTGAGAATCGGGACCTGTGACAGTTGGGCGAGGATCTGAGGGCAGGAGCCCAGGACGGTCCCCAGGCCTAGAGGTGTGCACTCCGCTGTGATCCGGGGCGACCCGTTCAGGATGCGATTTGGAGAGTTGGCTCCTGTAACCGTGAATGTGCCAGATCCAGGTACTCACGACAACCCACACGACATGGGGCCCTCAGCGCACTTCCAGCCTGAAGGAGACACAGCCTTCCAAGCACCTCATCCCAATTACACTGGAAACCACACGATTTGGGGACAGCGGGAGTTGGACGGCCACTTGGCTAAAAGGGCCTAACCCTTGGGAATCTGGGTCAGCTGGCACGGGGTCACCCAGCTAACGGTGGTCCTGGCCTCCCCAGAGCAAATCTCCAGCTGCGTGCCCCGGGCTGTCCTGGGTGGGCAGGAAGGCAGAGCCACTGTCCCCTGTTTCCCAGCAACAAGGTCACCCTGTGAGTGAAGCGACAGAGTGACATGATGAATGTGATGTTTTCAGAAAGAGCCGGTGTTTGGGATGGAACAGCAGGACCCTGGGAGCCGGCTGTCCAGGGAGCAAACAAGGTGAGGTCGCCTCGGCCCGTGCACACAGTGGCCTCTTCCCCGGAGCTCCAGACCGTGGCACCCGTAGAAGCTGACACCTGGCCCTGGACACAAGTAATTGTGAGAAAGGTGACACCCAGGGACTTAATTCTAATTAAGAGGCAAATTAAAAATGCAGTAGCCCGTGGCACACAGGCCGTGTACGGACCTGTCAAAGGCAGAGGGAGACCTTGGTCAGCCCCTGCCAGGGGCTGGATAAACACACAAAACGTTCACTCAGCTGGGGATCAAAACTGCGATGCAAATGAAAGCAATGAGGGGACAGATTATTCTGCCAGTCAAATGTTTAAAAAGAATAAAGTTGGGAAAGGTGGGTGGCCCGGGTACTCTCTACTGGCCACCAGTGTCCCCTGCCTGGGGCGCAATTGGGCAAAAATGTCTCCAGAGGTTTAAAATAAACATAGACTTTCCCTCTGTGTTCTCACCTCAAAAAATCCACCCCAAAGACATTCCCAGAGGTTTTCCTCTACACATATGAGGATGTTCAGCGTTGTCTGTAGACAACAAAAATAAGGCATCTACCCATACTTCCAACAGGGGTCAGGCCAGTTAATAGATTGATAAAATGACCCATTACATGGCCATTAAGAGTTACATTTTCAAAAGCTAAGAACCATATGATTTCACTCATAGGTGGAATAGAAGACTGAAACTCATGAGTGAACACACACAGCAGTGTGGTGGTTGCCAGAGGGAAGGGGGTGGTTGGGAGAAGGGGGTCCTAACAGAAGGTGACAGGAGAAGACTTGACTTTGGGTGGTGGGCACACGGTGCAATATACAGATCTTGTCACTTAGAAACCCACCCTGAAACCTACCTGTTCATGTTGACCAATGTCACCCCAATACATTTAATTTTTTTAAAAGTTAAATTTTCAAAGAACTGCAAAGACAGGAAACTCTCACAACTCAGTAAGAGACACAAAATCAGCAACAAGATGTATAATCTAGTATCAACTTGTTTAAAAAATATGTACGTGCTTAAGAATAAAACCAACTGAAATACAGAAAACCTTTAATAGTGGTGGGATTCTGGGTGCTTTTCATTTCTTTGTGAGACTTTTCCATAGCTCCCGAGTCTGGGTGGGGCCTGTTATTTCATCCTCTGGAAAATAAAACTGCTTTCCATTTTAAAGAAAAAGCAATAGGATCACCTTGGAGTCACCAGGGGAGAAAGTCATCAGCTTCGGTCTCTTTGGCTGGACTACTGTCTGTTTTGTCAGTATGACAAGAAGTCCTCACTCTCACCACCAAACCAGGCTCTCACAGTGTCTGACGTCAGAAAAGGAGAGTGGTTACTAGGAGATGGGAGCAGGGACCCCCAGAGAGCCGTGGGTCCAGCCTGGCAGGCAGGTTAGTGACATAGCTGGTGAGCACCCTACCTGCACGACACCCCTTCCCACAGGGCCCGAGCCAAGCCAGAATGGCCTTTCCAGGAAGCTGCCCCGGGCAGAGCCAGGTTAGCAGACCCAAGGCATAGCATGTGCACCTGTGTAATTGTGTCCTTGATCCCCACTCCTCTCCGCCTTCCCTCCCTGCTGCTGCCCATGTCAGGGTCTCTGGGCATGAGAATTAGTTCCCTTCACTTTCCTAGTAGGTGGGCCACACGTGGCTGTGGCTACAAAGGGAAGTGAAAGAGGGATCTTAGCTATTCAGTCTTCCCCCAGGGACCTGCGTGTGCCCTTCCTGAGATGGGCACTAGCATCATCCTCATTTTACAGATGAGGAAACTGGGGTACTGAAGGTCACTCAACTAGTAAGAAGTAGAGGCAGGATTTGAACCCAGCAGCTCAGTGCCAGAGTCCGGGCTCTCGGCCACTTTGTCCTGCACAAATGCAGGAAAGGAGGGAGGGGGTGGCTGAGGTTATAGGGCACCCATCCTGTGCTAAGCATGACTGAGCCCTGGATGGAGCTGATCTCATTTAAACACGGTGTGGGATTCGGGGACTGCATGCTGAGGTGAGAGGTAGGGAAACTGAAGCGCAGGGAGGTCAGAGACTTGCTAGGATCATACGTCTGGGAGAAATGACATTTTGCATTCACACTGCTCCTTCCTTCCACCGACATGATCTGGTTTTGATCCCGAAAATCACCAGGTCAGACGACTACACAGCATTCCAGGTGCCAGTTTCAAACAGGAGGAAGATGAGGCTCAAAGTTAAGTGACCCACCCAGAGTCACCCAGGTTTTAAGCGAGGACTCAAGTCTATGTCTTCAGACTCCAAACCAAGGTCCCTGTAGAGACCTCAGAGGCCAACCACAGCACTTCGGAGATGAGAACACTGAGGCCAACAGGACAGGTGGCCCGTTCAAGGTCACAGCCATCGATGGCAGCACGAGGCTGAAACCTACAGATCCTGACCCCATAACACCCAGCCCTCACGTGGTGACGAGAGCCCGTTATGTCAGCTCAGTGAACCGTGGGGGTAAAGATGCCAAGTCCATGGTGAAACAGAGGCAGAAACCATCAGAACCGAGGCCCCATTCCACTGTGAGGTCTTCCTGCCTCCCGGGCAGCTTGTGGTGGGAAGGGTCTGGGGAGCCCGGCCAGTGAATGAAGGCAAAGTTTAAAACTGGGGAGTCTGTACCTTTTAGGGCTTTTTTTTTTTTTTTTTTTAATAGGAGAGCGTCTGCCTGGGCTTAAAGTGGAAGCTCAGGGGCCTGCGCCTGCCGAGGAGTGACTGGCCCTGCCTGGGGTGGGGGCTTAGTTAGGTGTGGAATGAATATGTGAGCACAGGAATCCAGGGTGTAGGTGAGCAACATCCTGAATCCTCAGTGTATGGAAAAAGGATCTATGGAAGCTAAATCTGTATCGATGTCACCCTTTATCGTGTGTGCCACACAGCTCTGGCTCCTGTTCTACCCAGAGCCTTAGGGAGACGCTGGAGGTGGAGGTGGAGCCAGGCTCTGGAGGCCTCTGCTGGGCCCCGTGTGTAAGGCTGGGATCCCTGAGGGCAAGGACACTCCACTCCGCCTGCTCCCTGTCTGGGGCTCATCCCTGTGGATGCTGAGGTCCCTTCCTTCCCAGCTCTGCCTTTGCTTCCTTCCCGCTGGCCTTCACGGGCCGGGCTGTAACTACCAGGCCCCGGTGCTCCTGACTGCAGATGGGGGTGCATGTCCCTGTCACCCCGGGAAAGCTGCACCAGGAAAGCGAAAGGTGCACCTGCTCACATTTTTGTTGGCCGATTTCGCATCTGGGCTGCAAAATCACAGAGCCTGGCTCTCAGAGCGCTGCCATTCTCCCTCACCAGGAATATCCTCACCCCCTTCAGAGAGAAGGGCCAGCTGGGAGCTGAGAAGCACACCTGCTCAGGCCCCGGAGGCTGCTGGGGAGTTCCTAGCGCTGCTGGCTCTCCACGCTCAGGGCAGTGAGAATGCGATCAGCTGTTTCCTATCAGGAGGGTGCCGTCCACTTAGAAGGGGTTGTTAGGTCCAGAGGCCCATGAGGTGATTTCGGTCACGAGTGACAGAGAAATGACAGATCTCTAACTTTGGAAAGTGGGTTGTTGGAGAAGGGGGGGGGAGTATAGCATCAGGGCCCAGAAACTCTGGAGAATCCAGGAGTGTCCCTCCCCAGCCCCTTTCCCCAGCAGATTCCCAGGAAAAGTTCAGGTTAGAAACTTGCGAGGTTACAGCAGGAGCAACTCTCATCAGAGCCGCCACTCACCGGCACCCAGACCTCTTCCAGGCTCCACCCCAGGCCCCTGGGCTGGGTGGCCTCGCCCGGCCCCCTTCCTCCTCCCTCCGCCAGCTCCGTCCCGCCCCGCCGCCCGGCTCACCTTTGGGCAGCTTGGACGCGTTCTCCTGGATCCAGGTGAAGAGGTGGGCGAAGTCGCAGTCGCAGAGCCAGGGGTTGCCGTCCAGGCGCAGGGAGCGCAGCGCGGGCAGCGCGGCCAGGGCGGCCACGCTGAGGCTGCGCAGGTCGTTGTCGTTGAGCTCCAGCACCTGCAGCGACTCCAGGGTCTCGAAGGCCGCCTCGTGCACGCCCTCCAGGCGGTTGTTGGCCAGGCTCAGCCGGACCAGCCTCCCGGCCGAGCGGAAGGCGCCGGCGCCCAGCTGGGTCAGGTTGTTGTAGCTGAGGTCGAGGAAGGCGAGCTTGGCCGAGCCGCGGAACGTGCCCTCCTCCAGCGAGCGCAGCGAGTTGTTCCTGAAGTCCAGGTAGACCAGGTCGCCGTGGAAGATGAAGAAGTCCTCGGGGATGCGCTGGATGCGGTTGCCGGCCACCAGCAGCTTGCGCACGTCCAGCGGGAAGGGGTCGGGCACGCTGGGCAGCCCGCGGCCGCGGCAGTCCACGGTGTGCGGGTAGGGGCAGGCGCAGCCCGCGGGGCAGGCGCGGCCGGGCCGGAGCAGCAGCAGGAGGCTGCAGAGCCCGAGCGCGGCGGCGGGTCCCGCGGGGGCGCGGGGGGCGGTGCGGGGGCGCATGGCTGACCCGCGCGAGCCGCGGCGACGCGGACCGGCTCTCGGGAGGGCAGGGCGCTGGGAGCCGGAGGGCGGCCGGGGCGGGGAGGGCGTGCGCGCGGGGGCGAGTGAGCGCAGCGCGGGCGGACTAAGGGAGCCCGGAGCGGAAGGGACGGGGGGGGGGGGGGGGTGATGAGGGGGAGCCGGGGGGGGGGGGGGGGGGAGATGAGGGGGAGCCGGGAGGGAGGGGCGAGGGACTCGGGAAGGATTTGCCAGGACAGGAAGTTAACCCGCTGTTAAATCCCGGGGGAGAGACGGGAGCGGCGAGGGTGGCCAAGTGGTGGTCGCCAAATGCGGCCCCACCCGGACGGCTTACTTCGGGGACCTGATAAGCAGCTGCCGTGTGCGCTCGGCCAGGAGCCCTCGACAACTAAGCTCGATTACCGAGCGCATCCCAGCCCAGGCGGTGTCCCGGGCCCCGAGCCCGGTACCCCCACGCCGCCAGGTGCCAAAGCACGCTCCCCGGGCGCCACCCCGTTGCCAAAGGGAGCGCAACCCGGGTCACGGTGGCCCTGCGCCCGGAGCAAACCCGGCAGGCTCCTGGGGGGCCGCGACCCAGGCTGTCCATGGGGTTGGGCAGGGCGCCAGAGGATGGCTTTTCTTCCTCCCTCCCAACCCCTACCCCAATCTCAGCGAGGCCCGCGGGGTCCTCGAGGCTGGCAGCCGCCCCGACGCCCCGCTGTGGCCAAAGGAAGTCCAAGGCCAGTCAGCACTTTCCACGTTGATCCCGTGCTCGTCAGGAACGGGCAGCGGCCAGTGCGGATCTGCTGCTGGTCTAGGAGGCCCACCCGAAGGGGTGTGGCCTGGGGTAAGGAGGCCTGGCTTCCCTGTCCTGTGGCCTCCGTGCCTCACCTCTCTGGACCCCCTGCGCCCCCTCCATAAAATGGGGAAAAGTCGTATGTCTGTCACCAGCTATGGAGGACCACCACGGGGTCAAGAAACCGAATTAAAAAATGATCTCTTCCCTCTTAACGCTCACTCCTCCCCCACCAGCTCCCAGCTGGGGTCCCCAAGGAAGCAGGTCAGGGAGGTGTCAAGGCTGAAAGCTCAGCAAGGCAGGTCACCTTCCTCCCACTCTCTATTTAAGAAACTTTTCTAAGGAGAGGTCCCCACAGAGCCACCATGCTGAGGGCTATTTTGGTCCAAATACCCTGGAATTGATAACCTGGACCAAAATAACCCAGGGAACAGCTGTTGGGCAACCGGCCCCAGAGACCCTGCCTGGCCCCTGGCCCTGATGCGCTTTGGTGGAGGCTCGGATGCTAAAGCCACAGAGCTAAGCCCCAGCCTTTTTCCAAAGGTACATGGAGTCTTGGTGCCTTCGGGTGGATCAAAACCCTGAGCCTCTGGGTCTGAGCCTCTGGGTCTGAGCCAGCGGCTTCAAAGATGAGCCCTGGGGAGCAGGGGGGAGGGGAGCTCTGAGCCGCGGGGGGTCCTACAGCTCTTTTCCTGCCTCCATGCCAGACCCCCTGAGGCTTCTGGGGGTGTCCCACTCTTCTGGGGTCCCCAGCTCAGGGGCTCAGCCCCCTTGCTGGTCTGTCTCCTCCTCTTGAAGAGGCAGGTGCCAGAGCAATGGTCTGAGCCCCCCCAGGGTGGGTGAGTGTGCCCCACTGCCTACACGATACATTGTAATGATCTGTGACACCCCCACTTTTCCAGTCTGGGGCCTGGTTCCCCCGGCTCACTGCAGAGTTAGGGGAGCCTATTTATTACTTCGGGGAGCCCTCAGCATCGCTGCTTCAGGCCTCCTGCATTCGGTTGGGCTGTTTGTCTTGCACATGTGCGCCCTGTGCCTGTGTGTCTGAGGGTGGACAGCCCTGCCCAGTGGGCTGCATGGTTGGAGCCCTGGCCCTGGCCCCACCGCTAGCCACATGCCTCGCCTGGGCCACGGGACCTCTCTGGAGAATACTTCCCAGCCTGGGGTCCCTGGGCTCCTTGAGGATGAACTCTTTTCGGGATTTCAAACAAACAGTGTGGTGGGAACTGGGCTCCACCTCTGCGGAAGTCACCGGAGTAAATGCTGCAGGTCTGGGCAGTGGGCTCGAGGTGGCCCTAGTTCTTGGGTGCCGAGCAGAAACCGGCACGCATGGGTGACGTTGATGAATGAAAACAGCTAAATTTCTACTCAATAAATGCAGGGCAGTTAGCAAGGGCTTGCTGACAGGGGGGTGCATGGCAGTCAAATAATGAAAGGGGTCCCTGGTCATTCAAGTGTTGAGAAAAGCCACTCGCTGCGGCCTCGATGCCCTCATCTTGAAACTAGAGAGAAGTGCCTTCTCCCCCGCCCCTTCTCCTTCCCTCCCCCTCCCGCCACAGGCGGCTCTGGGCCCCGTGGGAACCAGTGCTGTGGAAGGTGATCTGAAAAGTGTTTGGTTCACGCTACATGTGAAAGTGGCCATAGTCTGGCTGTGGCAGGAACTCCTTGCCTCTTGCTTTGGGTGTCCCCCCCCCCCAAAGTCCCCTGAATTCAAATTGAAGCCTTTTCATCAATATCAGCAGGACCAGGCGTGGCTGAGGTTTGTGGGGGGCAGGGAGGACCCCATCTTCCAGGATTCGCATCCCTTGGGAAAATGCGAGCCTTGCCACCTCTGTTTTCCCTGCAGGGAAAGCCTGGCTGTGACCTCAGCAAGGTCGCAGGGCCAGCCAGTGACAGCTGCTGGAAATAGAACACAGGCATCCTGACACCCCAGCTGCTCCACGCCCCTGCTCCCTCCCGGGAAGGGGCCTCTCACTGCGTGAAGAAACCGCTCAGGTGACTGGAGGGACCTTCAGAGACGCAGCTGGTCAGCTCCAGGCTTGTATTTATTCTCAGAATCAACACACTTTGTGATTCTCATTCAGGAGGCTCAAAATGGGGGGTGTGGCAAGCACCCAAGGTGTCCTGGTGTTTTCAAAGCTGACATCACGCCTTCCCCCACTGGCCAAGCTGAAACCCCACCCCTGCCCTGTGCTCCCCTAGCTACAGAGCACTTCCTGTCTCGTCTTGTCAGTGGCCCATGTCCGACTTCCTGTGAAGCCTTGGGGAGCTGTGTGGACAGTGGTACCCAGGGAATCCCCCATGTGGAGCCTGGCCCCTGTAAGCAAAAACAATCCAGTCAGTCTTGTTGCCAGACTGACCTCTAAATTAGCCAAAATTCTAGGCCCTACATTATAAACAAGATGATGCCAGTATGGCACATGCAGGAGTATGAATGTAGCTGCAGACACTAGGGGTGAGTGATGAGTGTGGCTGGTGTTGGGTGATGTCATTTGGGTTACCGTTGTGATGAGCGCCTGGCTGACCTAGGTAGGAGCCATGAGAACACCCCATGGGCTCCAGGAAAGGAGATGCACTTTGGCCCTTTGGCTGGGGCAAGCTGACTTGATGAACCCAGTCTCCATGGACACGGCTTTGTCCTCCCCCACCCCACCCCACCCCCAATCAACTTAGCTAAACCCAGGGTCCTCATGTTCCCACCCAGTGCTCTTCATCGCTGCCACCACCAGGGGGCACCCTCTGCTGCTGCAGTGAAACAGGCTTCTGCTCTGCTCCTCTCTGACAAGCCTGGACCCACTCTTTAGAATAAAAGCTGCTGCCCCTTTTTACTCCTGGGGGCAGGAGATGAGTATGCAACCAGCCTTAACGGGGGGCAGGGGGTGGTATGGTTAGGAACGTGGGCTTGGAGTCAAATCCTGGCCCTCCCGTCCACTGGCTCTGTCGCCCTGGGCAAGTTAACTTCTCTAATCCTCAGTTTTCCTATCTGTGAAGTGGGAAACGCCTGCATGACTGGGTTGTTAAGAGGATTAATTGAGATGTCTATGAGTGCTTAGCAGTGGGACTGACACAACAGATGGTAGCCACATCATTCTCAAGCTCTTGCCCGGCTGGCGTGGCTCAGGGGTTGAGCATCAATCTATGAACCAGAAGGTCATGGTTCAATCTGGGTCAGGGCACATGCCCGGGTTGCAGGCTCCATCCCCAGTGTGGGGTGTGCAAGGGGCAGCTGATCAATGATTCTCTGTCATCATTGATGTTTGGATCTCTCCCTTCATCTCTGAAATCAATAAAAAATACATGTATTTTTTAAAATGATCTGGTTCTCTATCTTTTCACCTATAGCAGGTGAAGATTTCGTGGAGGTGGTGTTCTTTAGGTAAAGACTGTGTTTGTCCCTCTGGAGTTTATTTGTTAGGGATGCCCTGACATTCGAGGGTGAGCTTTAGTAACTCTCCCTGCCCTGAACCATGTCCCACTTGAGACAGAGGGACAGATGGACACAGACACACCCCTTAGCTCTTTCCTGCCTTTGTGAGCACAGTTATAGGTTAGCGCCCTCCCGCCCCGCCCCTGCTCGCTGGCTTGGCTGCTCTGAGCATGGGCAGACTAAGACTGAGGGCATGGGGTCGGCCCCTCAGCCCGGCACAAGGAGGCATCTGCTCTCTGCTCACAGCCGGTGCTCCTCAGGTGGGCCAGCCATCCAGCAAATGTGTGACCTCGGGTAGGGCTGGAGGAGGTCGGGGATAGTGTCACCCTGTCTCTCCCAGGAGGAGACAATCACAGAGCACACATCCTGAAAGTCAAAGTGATGGTCATCCCACCGGCAGGAGGCACATGTCACAACCAGCCCAGGAGTCATCTGTTTCCTCCTCGCTGGCCCCTGCCTCCCGTCCATTGGCAAGGCCCCCCGGACCTCCTTCCTTGCCTCTCCATGGTCACCCCCTTAGTCCTGACAGGCATCATCTTTTACTGAAGTCCCCACTGGCCTTCCTGTGTCCTCTCTTGCCCACCTGCCACTCATAGTTCTAATGCTCAAGAAAGCCAAAGTGATTCTTTGACAAGGTACAGCAGGTCATGTCATCTCCCTGCTCAGACACCTCCAGTGGCTTCCTGTGTGTGGCGGGCAGGTTTCTAAGGTGACCCTCACCTGCTGGTATTCCTTTAGTGAGGACGAAACCCGTTGTGTGACTTGCTTCTGATGAATAGAATATGGCCAGGATGACAAACGCCATTTCCATGATTAGGTTTCAAAAGACGATGGCTTCTGTCTTGCTATCAGACTCT